GAAGATATTTTGAAGAATGTGAGTAACTAAACAGTAGCTGGTCCACACTGACTTTTACAGTAGGAAAAAAAATACCAGCAACTGCTTGGTTACCCACATTCTTCAAAAATAACTTTTATGTTCAACAGATGAAATAAATTAATTCAGGTTTAAAACAACTTGGGAGTAAATGATGATATCAAAATGAAACACTATTGAAAGACAGATGATCTTTTAATCTTAATAAAACAACAAAACACAGAAAAAAAATCACTCACTGCTCTTGATGTTTAAGTGATGAACTCCATTACTTGTGTTTGTTTTCAGACATGATAACAGACATTTTATACTTGTGCTACAACTTTTTGGCCTGTGCTACAAAACTTTCAACCTCTGTAGCACCAATGCTATGTGAAAAAAAAAGTTAACTTACAGCCCTGCAATCAAATCGGAACAGCGGCACTTTTGCCTCCACGTTCATAGACTAAAAAATATTTATTTCTGCAGGGATTTCAGTCCGACTAAAAAGCGATTTCAAATACGCACATTATAAAGCCTATATCCAATAATAGCGTCAAATGCATCAATGCGATGATAATTCACCACATTCATTACTGATGATAATTGAGGGGAGAGGACTCAGTAGTATGTTGCAGCAGGTGCACAATAAATGTTCATAGATGGCATCGCTGCTGGTGGGAGGGGCCCCACTGATGTGCGGTACGCCACTGAGCACAACTTTAAATGCTAAGTTATACAACAAAATCTGTTTGACACTCTGAGCGGTTATGTAATTTCCGTCACCGCGGTGATAAATCATATTCACACAGGTTATATTCTAAAAGACATTGGGCATGAATCATGATCCTTCACCAATACAAACAGTTATATGAGCAGAGATAGTAATCCAGCTTGCTCTAACACGCTTTCTCACCCGCGATGTCTTCTTGTGGAAACCCGCTCGATGATGGATGTCGTGGTGCAGTTTTAGGTTTTGTCTTGCTTATTTCTCGATGAGCGCGATTCTCTACATTAAAGTTTCGGATCAGGCGTGTTACCCTCGAGCCCATGTTTGCAATCTCTACAGAGGACATTCGTCTTCTTCTTGTCACTGTACTAAAGGCATTGAGCGCTCATTACTGCCCCCGACGGGCTGATTCTCCGGTCGGCACACCAAGTTTTGTTTTGTTTCTAAAAATATAATAAACGTTTTGTATAAGTACAAATATGACATGTATAAAACAACATATAAGACACCAAATAAAAATAAAAGAAAAAATAAACATATATTTACCTTTTTCTTCAACGCGGAAGTAAGCCTATGGGTGAGACTTCCGGTTCATTAGCCGCGGTAAATAGCGAGGAGAATACAACGTGCAGTAAACGGTAAAACTGTTTGCACTACAAACCAGTGTGTTCATAATTAAGATAATACATTAAAATGATATGATAAGCCACACCAACTTTCAATATCAAGCAGCAAAACGAACTGTTTTGTTCAGCTAAAAATAGCTAAACGGAGTGGACGCAGATGAGACCGGAAGCCATACCCATAGAATTTACAAATGGCCGCGCCCATTGTTACGACAAGAAAAAGGTGGATAGTTTGAATAATTACTGAATGAACTAGATCTCACATATCCATGGAAGCCCGTTTCCGCCACTGAATAAAAAATAAAAGAGGTAATTGCAACGTTTTATCTCACAATTCGGACTTTTTTTTCACAGAATTGCGTGCTATAAACTTGCAATTGCGAGTTATGAAGTCAGAATTGTGAGATATAAACTCGCAATTCTGAGAACATAACAGTCTTTCCCCCCCCTCAAAATTGGACTTTAACTCGCAATTGCGAGTTTATATCACGCAATTCTGACTTTATAACTCGCAATTGCAAGTTTATATCACGCAATTCTGTGAAAAAAAGTCCGAATTGTTTGATAAAAAGTCGCAATTACCTTTTTTTAAATTTTTTATTCAGTGGCGGAAACGGGCTTCCATACATATCACTCTGGCCTTGACACAAACGTTGAATATTAAGAAACAATGCTTTACAATATGCGTTATCAAAGTGTAAGACCTATATAAAAATTGCTTGATGAAAAATGTAGAGAAACTTTGGGAATCTTGTGTGTAGTTAAGTTTTAATTAGTGTTCAGGTCTCAGAAGCATTCAGGTGACTTCCAGATTAACCGTTTCTCTGTTGTTTGTTTTGCAATGGTTTTGTGCATTTGTGTCATATAAAAAAAAAGTATGGTTCTTCACACACAGTAACAGTTCTATTTAGAACCATAATAATTGTCCTGAAGAACCCTTTTGTGCTGAAATGGTTCTTTATGTAATCTGTAACTAAAACCACCTCAGTATTGAATTTTCTGGAGCTCAGCTATACAATTACACAGACTGTCAACACACTCAACAGGTAAATGATTTCTTTCTTAAAATGTCTATTTAACTGAACTGTAACTGATTTCCTACCAATCATGCTCTGTTCAGTCGAGGATACTTCTCTCTTCTCCACTAAAGCAACAAGGATATTGAATTTAGAATCCATATGGTTAGATTTAAATTATTACTTGGGTTTAGGCATGCCCATTCACACACACACACACACACACACACACACACACACACACATCACCTTTTCTTTTCAACATTGTGAAAGCTACTCCGGGCCTTCATAAACATAACTGTTTTAAACAAATGGAAGAGACACATTGTAACTCTAAACATATTTGTGTATGTTTCTGCCCAGATGCTGTCAGACCCCACAACCTCATAATATGCAGAGAGAAACTGGCATCATAGAGGACTGTGAAGATACTTTTCTGGAACTTGATTGCATTGTCTTCATTGCATCTATTTTGTGTTTATTCATGTTCAGTGTCAGTTATCATTTATTAATTTATTCAGCTAACAACAGTTGTTAGAGCTCTGTAATTTTTGCTACAATTCCCCATGTCAATAATAACAGGCAGGCAGAGGGGAACAATATTAATAAAAAATATGAAAAAAACTAACTAATAATAATGAAAATAAATTATTCTTAAAAAGGTTTTTTATTACACCATTAAAGTCCTATATACTGTATAGCACTTTCAAAGCAAGGTTCTTTATGGAACCTTATAAAAAGGGTTCTGCTATTGTTACGTTTAGAACAATTTTTCTTGAGTGTACTGTAAGACTAGCATTGTATATTTGAGTGAACGCAGTCTTGTGATCCTATTTCTCCAGCTCTCAGGATTCATTTGGATGAATTTTAAAGACTGTTTAATTACTTTAATTTTTATGTTTGTTTCCATAGTCAGTGGTGAAGATTTGTTCAGCTCCATCACGGATGACGCACACAAATGAAGGTCTGTGGATGATGCGGTGAACATGGGACTGCATTATATCCTACAACATCTAGACAAACCATGTGAGGATCCTGTTTGTGGACTTCAGTTCGGCTTTCAATACAATCATCCCAGCACTCCTCCAGACCAAACTAACCCAGCTCTCTGTTCCTAGCTCTATCTGTCAATGGATCATCAGATTTCTGGTAGTCGTAACAACCTGGAGCTGAACACGCTCAAAACAGTGGAGATTATTGTGGCCCCCCCTGCACTCCCCCCAATCACCAACATGAACAGCACTGTGGCTGCAGTAGAGTCAAGTCACCTTTATTTATATAGCGCTTTATACAATACAGATTGTGTCAAAGCAGCTTTACAGTGTTAAACAAAAAAAAAAAAACGTGCTGATTTTTCAGTTAAAGTCAGTTCATTGTTGATTCAGTGATGTCATCATTCAGCTCAGTTCAGATCGAATAGTGTCTGTGCAGTCGAGGCAACAGTGTTGCCAGAAATTGTGTCCCCAACTATGCAAGACAAAGGCGACAGTGGCAAGAAACCAAAACTCCATCAGTGACAGAAATGGAGAAAAAAACCTTGGGGGGAAAACAGGCTCAGTCGGGGGACCAGTTCTCCTCTGGCCAGACGAAACCAGCATGGCGCGGTTTAATTCCAGGCTGCAACGCATGTCAGATTGTGCAGAGGACTTGTCTGGTTCCTAGTTTGCAGTGGACGTGAAGGAATATAATGCGATATGAGCTCGCTCAAGTATTATTGAGGAACTAAACCTTTCAGGGCTTTATAAGTAATTAGCAAGATTTTAAAATGTATTCGTTGTTCAATAGGGAGCCAGTGCAGAGTTGACCGAACCGGGCTAATATGTTCGTATTTCCTGGTTCTAGTAAGAACTCTAGTTGCTGCATTTTAGACCAGCTGGAGTTTGTTTATTAAGAGCGCAGAGCAACCGCACAATAAAGTATTACAATAATCTAACCTTGAGGTCATAAACGCATGAATTAACGTTTCTGCATTTGACATTGAGAGCATAGGTCGTAATTCAGATATATTTTTAAGATGGAAAAATGCGGTTTTACAAATGCTAGAAACACGATTTTCAAAGGAAAGATTGCTATCAAACAGCACACCTCGGTTCCTAACTGATGACGAAGAATTAACAGAGCAGCCATCAAGTGTTAGACAATGTTCTAGGTTATTACATGCAGAGGTTTTTGGTCCGATAATTAACAAAAGTATTCATACCCCTTCATTTTATTTTTTTTTTCACATTTTGTTATGTTGCTGCCTTATGTTAAAATGCTTTAAATTACTTTTTTCCCCACATCAATCTACACTCCATACACCATAATGGCAAAGCAAAAAAACAGGTATTTAACATCTATTCATATACTTATGCAATGTACTTATTTCAGATTTTTAAAACATTTTTAATATATTTATGAAGTTTTGACAATTCTGTTTTTGCTTTGTCATTATGGTGTGTTGAGTGTAGATTGATGTGGGAAAAAATAAATTTAAATGAGTTTAACATAAGGCAGCAACATAACAAAAGGTGAAAAAAATGAAGGGGTATGAATACTTTCGCAAGGCACTGTAGTTGCGCGTAACTGTGCATAATTTACTGTTAATAAGAACATGTACCAAAAACACTATAAAATAAGGTGTTACCTTTTATAGCCACACCCAGTCTTTCTTTCACCAAGCAATGGTAAATGTAAACACACCTTTAGTCAGTTATTTTGTGTATTTCATAACCAGCGTAGAGTAGCATCTATGCTAATGTTAATACTACGTTTGTCTCTTTTCTTACCTTTGGGCACTATTTTATATAGATTTTTTTATAACAGCTGTATTGCAAAAGCCTTGATAAATATTATTTATTCGTTCAGTACACTACCAATGGCAAAAATAAGCTCAACACAGAAATTTTACTTGCTTAGGGGCATATTGTGAATGCTGAAACCTGTTAAAATGGATGGAGAAATAAATACGCACTGCTTACATGTGCAGTGTAAAAACCACCATAACTTTTAAAGAGGGATTTCATTAGGAATAAGAAAGAGTAAAGCTTGTAAAGAGTGTAAAATATTGTATTTTTATTTCCAAATGGGAAATGTTAACAAAATGGCATGTTAAAAAAATGGGAATGGCTATTTTGAGGTGATTACTGACACTTACGATACTGTTAAACCAAATGAAATGTTGGTGAGGGGTTTTAAAGAGGTTCTGATGAGAGAGAGAGAGAGAGAGAGAGAGAAAACATCCACACTCAAAAATACCTGGTAGCTGGAAAACTAAACACAATGCATTTTGTTTGTGGAGATATACTGACATATGGCAGTCTTTAACATTTGGCTAGAAATACAAGAATGTACATTATGTGTAAAATAATTTTTTGTTACATTAGGTTAACATCTAATAACTTGGAGAGGGCACAATTCTCAGAGATTAACAAAATGTCAACTCAATTTAGTATCTTGTGCACTGTAAAATAAAAAATAAATAAGTTCAAGAAAATATGACAAATCAATTTCCCTTGAAGGTCGAGATATTTTAAAACCACTAGAATAATAAAGACTGAATCTTTATTCCTCCATCTGGAACATGATCTCATCAGAAGAGGAGAGAATGAATAAACCACAAACATTCTCAAAACTCAAATATTACAAGAGTTTTATGCACTGACACACACCTAAACCCTTCATAGATGTCTGCTTTATCCTTCATGAAGAACGGGTTCCTCGACGCGACCAAAATTGCTACTTTGCGAAGCAGCACAAAAAGATGAGCGGGGGTTTAACAAA